CTCACCTAATAGCAGTTAAAATTTCAGGAAGAGAGACCAAAATTATTAGGGTTTGTGCAAGAACAAGTACTTAACATCTGCTAGTGGGCCTACATGTTTGTCTATGCTATTACACCAACTGGTGAGGGAGCATATGTTGTGTTATTATTATACAAACTTAGCTAATATTGGAAATTAGTTTTTAATTTGGAGTCGAACTTATATTCTTAAATATGGGATTAATATAGAGAAATATCGTTTTAAAAATTATCGGAAAAGAGAATTTAGTTTTAATACGCGTAAATAAACTTATTTTTGAACTAATTAGAATATATAATTATGTTATTTTGTATTTTTAAGTTGATGGAAAATGAAACGTCAGTAACACAGCTAGCCAGCCATCTCACGAGGGTGCAAAGAGAAAAAAGAGAGTGTAAGGGTTGATTGGAAGAACCCATCAATGTGATTGTTTGGTTGTGGCTTAACCACCTAAATAATTGACTGTTTGTAGGGCTATCTATACACGTGTTAGGTAAATATATTTAAAATAATTTAATTAAAATAAAAATTTCTATAATATTTCTTGCTGTTCAGAAATTCATAATCTTCCATGATTATTTATATATGGAAATTATGTTTTTGAAATTATTTTCAATCATTATGTGCTTTTCTTTTTTTTTTTTTTTTTTCTATGGAATTATTTATATATGGAAATTATGTTTTTTGAAATTTACTTTCAATCAGTATGTTGCTATTTCTTTCTTTTTTTTTTTTTTCTCCTTCTTTAGCTGCCAAAAATTGAATGAATTGGTTACAATAAATTAGTTGGTCGAGGACAAATATCCAAAATTGATATTGCAATATTTTATATTATATAATACCATATAGTTATTTAGATAAACCACTAAATCATTGTAGATTAATAAGTCAAATGTTTGAATTTTTATATTATTTAACCATAATTTGACCGATTTAGCTAAGGCATAAATACTTACAAGTTTAAAGCTGAATGTGCAGAATTCTGGGAAGCAATCGATGAATTTTGTCATTTAGCCTCAGTCGGACAAATCGCCTTCAAAATCAGTAGGGTTTTAATACTTTCAACACCCAGCCCACTGACGTGGAAAAAAGTACAACAAATTTTGCGCGGCTGCTTGGGTACTGACTTTGCCAATCACTTCTTTTCATGTTTTTTTATCAGAAGTTAAATTAAATTTAATTTTAAAATTAAAAATGCTGATACAATGTCCACAAAAAAAAACTAGTCTTAGATTCTTTTGTAATTCTTGTCTCTATATATTCGTCAACACGACTATTAATATATTTAAAGCAGTGGTATCGCTATAATAGAGTAGTAGTGCGAATCATTCATTATAGAAAATCCGATTAAGTCTCTCGTAGCCTACTCAACATGCTTCTACTGCAAACTGATTTTTTTTTTCCTGAAATCTTCTAGATGAGCTCCTATTATACTTTTTTTTTAATGCTGAGAAGCAGTAAATTTTAAATTTTGTTGGACTTGAATAGTCTCTAATAATCATTTATTAGCCCATAAGCTTGTAACTCTAATATTGAATCAGAACTAACCATGATTTTATCTACATTGGTCCGAAAATTTTTTTTTTTTTTTTTTTTTTCCTTTTTAGTGCAAAATTGAATGAAAATTGGTTAAATATAATTAGTTGGTGAGGACAAATATCAAAATTGATTTGAATATTTTATATTTTATACTATAGTTATTAGATAAACCCTAAATCATTAGATTAATAATCAAATGTTTAATTTATATTTAACCAAATTTACCATTAGCTAAGGCTAATCTTCAAGTTTAAGTGAATGTGAGATTCTGTGAAGCAATCATGAATTTTGTCATTTAGCTCAGTCGACAAATCCCTAAAATCTAGGGTTGTTAATACTTCACACCACCACTCGTGGAAAAAGTACAACAAATTGTTGGGCTTGGGGACTATTTCAATCATTCTTTTTTTTTTTATCAGAAAAATAAATTTAATTTTATTAAAATTATAATGTCCAAAAAAAAAACTATAATTTTGAATTTTCTATATATTGCATCATATAATATTTAAACATGTACATAATATAATCAATATTATTATAGAAAATCCGATTAAGTTCTCTGTCTCAAATTGTTTATGCAAATATTTTGAAATCTTCTTATGAGTTATTATACTTTTTTTTAATCTGAGACTTAAATTTTAATGTTGGACTTGAATTTCTAATAATATTTATTAGCATAAACTTGTAATTAATATTGACAGAACTAATATTTTATTACATTGGTGAAAAACTTAAATATCCATTTATTTCAAAATTTTATCCATGGTATCTAATGAGAAATTATTTAATTCCTCGAATAATATTTAATTTAATGCATTTGGAGACCAACCACTCGGAGAAGTTGGACTATACATAGTAATCTAAATTGGCCCAAACTTTTTTATGCTATTTTTGTTAGAGGCCCAAATTACAAATAACAGTAGTCCATGGACCATGGGTTAAATTTGGGCTTTGAGGCCTAACTTTTTCTCTTTACTTGGGCTTTTCGTATAATGAACTTGTCTATGCGCGTGAAGTCGGTACTTTCTTTCTTTACCAAAAATAAATAGGAGTTAATTTTGATATCAGTCAATAAAATTATAATTAAATAAATAGGAGTTTACTAAAAATAAAAAATATAGTTAACATGTGCTTGGTGTTCCCTTTAGATCTGTGGCATCAAGCTCATCAAAATGCACCGACCTCATTTAAAGAAAAAAGAAAAAAGAAAAAAGAGAAAACAAACAAATCTCACGTATATAAAATTTGGTTAATTTTAATAATATTATTAATATTACAGTAATCTTTTTTTCTAGAAAAAAAAAAAATTCCATAAGTTTCGACATTGACGAAAATAAATTAAAAAGGGAAAAAACGCAAGTGGAAGTGGGCAATTATTATGTTTGATGGTATAGATATTATTATTGGGAAAGAAGAAATGAAGAAATGTTGCTCCCATGTGCACACCACATGCAAGCCCATCAGTACCTTCCTTATTGTCCTTTCTTCCGTGTTTTGCCGTGCAATGCACAAACAAACCCGCTTCGATTCAGCTGATTCAGATCAGATCGCTGATAATTGCATTACAGTTGTTTCACCAGCTGATAACTCATCTCATTTAAATCTTTAAAAGATCCATAATTTTGATGCAAAGGGTAATATTGTTAATATATGGTTACCATCTTTCAAATTAAATTACAGACCAACATTTTCTTTATTTAAAATTGAATGCAAGACAGGTAATCAAAAAATAATTTAGACATGAATTGATGTAAAGTTTAAATTATATAACTAAGATATATATTGTCTCCATCATACATATATGAGTAGACTAGCAAAGAAAAGGTAATGGCAAATAAATTGACACTAACCAATTATGTCATTGCATAATGCACACTAGTGTTCATAGAAATCACATTTTTGTGCATGCACATACATAGATCCAATATCCAATTAAAAATGTTTAAATCTATGTCGATGTACTTTTTACTAGATTTAAAAAAAAAAAAAAAAAACTTTTTCAGATTCGGATTTTTGGTGAAGCCTGTTGGTTCTGATTAAATTACTTGAATAAGTTAAAATAAATTAATTTCGTTGATAAAAAAATTATCAAATGTAAAAATTAAAGGCAGATCTCAATTTAAAGTTTAATTAATTATAACTGTTTGTGAGTTAATTAAAATTTTTCTTAGTTCCTTTCTAATGACTATTTTTTATTATTATTTGAGAGTAATTTGTTGCTGAATCCATTTAGAAATTTATTTTTATTATCCAAAATCCATTGCAATTACTTGTTTAAGCGGTCAAACCCATTTAAAATTAAAATATTTTATTTTTTAAATAAAAAATAAAAAATAATATATTTTAATTTAATAAAAAATGAAATATCAGTATTAAATATAATTATAAATCAATTATAATTTAAAATGCGTATATATAATTTTCCTTTAAGAAATAATTATTTTTAAAAATTAAATAGATGATAGATAGCAAGTACCCGAGTTTTTTTCTGAACCCAGTACCGGTAATCCGTTTACTGACTAAAATTATATGGGATTAAGATTGCCATTCCAAAATGCAACTGTAAATCCGGTTAAGGGTAGTTATTCGTGGAAGGTAATACAGTACAAGCCCCAACGGCCGAAGCAAAAAATTGTCGGTGAAAATGTAGCGTAGCATGTATAAATCCGAATACATGAATACGATATATCGTATTTGGTTTACAGCGCATGGTGCGCACTTTTGTCCAACCGGCGCAGCTTTGGGTCACGTGCAACGCTCAGCGCCATCACATGCAGATGTAGTGCGCCAAATACTTTTCCTTATTATTTTTGGCCCTTTTTAACTTTTTAATTTAACTGCTTTGAATATAGAATTCAGATTTGTTGACTTTTCTGTCCTTGTGGGCCCTTTATCCACAACGACCGCTTAACTAACTCTTTTCTCTTCAATGCACCGTCGCTCTATAATTACTAGTAGTAATTTTTTCTTTTTGAAAAATTACTGTTTTTTTATTACTTATACTTTATATTTTAATTTTAACATTTTCTTAGTGAAATAGTTACAGTGAAAATAGTAAATATTTACTACTAAGACATTAGAATTAAATTAATTGAAAAACACTAAATATTCAATTAAAGAATCAGCAACAAGTAGTAATTGCACCACCATCCTAATTTAATGCAATGATCTATCAATGGCAACAAGTAGGAAGGATGAGAAATTAGCATTCTTTTTTTTTTTATTTTTGTTTGTTAATATGTAAAATAATTAAAGTAGAGTTAATATTATATTTAAATTCATACTTTAATTATTTTTTTTAACTTTTGGGAAATAAAATGAAATGGAGTGGAGGTGTGATTTATTTTGTAGTATTTTGTGATTTAATTTATTTGCAAAATTGCATAAAACAATTCAGCATAAAAGGCAGTACAGGTGTCACCTCATATCAAGTAATAACATACAGTGACCCACAAAAAGGATCACAGCTAACAATCTCTAATTGGACCAAACCAATTTCTAATCTCTATATATACTCCTACATTGCAAGGCCACTTCCAATCAATTCCCTCTTCTTTTTCCTTTCATATCATCTTCTTCCTTTTTCTCTGTTCTTACTTTGAGAAGAGGGATTTGGTTCTCTGATAAAGGCCATGGCTAAGTTTGTTGCTCTTCTTCTCTTGGCCTTCATTGCCATTTCAATGCTCCAAACTCTGGTAAGATCCTTTCTCCAGCTTCGTCCTTCTATTTTGAAGGATAAACTAAGAACAAGAAATGAAAAGAATGAGGAAATTTACTTTATTTCCTTCTTTATTTGCAGGTTATGGCATCTAATGGCCATGGAGGTCACCACTATAACGATCAAGTAAGCTTCTTTAACTTTTTTTTTTCCTTGCTTAGCAGATAATGTGGGTGCTTAATCTTGATAATTTTGTTTAATTCTTTAATAATTGTTAATTAATTACTTAATTCACATTTTAATTCTATAGTGTTTTATATTTTCAGAAGCGTTATGGACCAGGAAGTCTTAAGAGCTCCCGTAAGTAGCTACATTTTCTCTGCTAGATCTTTTATTTTCTTTCAGTTTCCCTGGTTTTCCCTCCAACCAAACAATCAGAAAAACATAATGACAAATGCAGCCCAAGTCAAAGTTTGACTGTGGTCATTTTTCTCCTTGAAATTAACCATTTCTTTAATCTTTACCCAGAAAAATGGATCTGGGAAACAGTAATATGATGATGCTGTTTTTTACCTTTTCCTTTTCTGTTGCTTATTTATTATTATTTGTTGAATGACCAGAATGTCCTTCACAATGCTCGAGAAGATGCAGCAAGACACAGTACCACAAGCCATGCATGTTCTTTTGTCAGAAGTGTTGCAGAAAATGCTTGTGTGTGCCTCCAGGGTATTATGGGAACAAAGCTGTTTGCCCTTGCTACAACAACTGGAAGACCAAGGAAGGAGGACCAAAATGCCCTTGAATTGTTCACTTCATCTCTAATTTACCCTTCCTAAGTTAATCTTCCTTTTTAATTATGGGATTATTATTAGTATTGCTATGGTGTTTAATTATGAATGCTATTAGTAGCTCTACTAACTATATATTTATATATAAATTCTTAATGTGTTTTTGTTTTGAAGATGGGTTTTGTTTTGTTCTTTGAATTCAAGCCACTCCTTGAGGTTGTCTCTAGAATGAGAGTGGATAAAATATTATTGTATTATCAATTAATTGATTTTCTCTTAATCCCACGTGTATGGATGATGTAAGATCTGAATCTCTATCAGAAAATTAACTATTAATTGCAAGTGCTTCTTTTTCTTTTCCTTTTTTTTTTTTTAAATCACAGGTTCCATGATCCCGTTATCATGGATGTTTTTTTTATAAATTACCGATATTTGGATTTTATTATTTTTGTTTGCATTACAGATAGCTAGATTTTATTATTAGAGACGTCTAATTCGGTTTGGTTTACTTAGATCCTATTATTAGAGACATTTAATTCCGCCCTATCTTTAATTACAGATAAGACTTTTCAACTATAAAATTAAGTCAAATTGAATCTTTGAATACTTGAAGAGGAAAAGCATTTATTCCCAGCCCACTCTAAAACAAAGAGGAGGCTGCCCTACCAAAGTAACGAAATTTGGGGCATTGATTACTCATTATGCCTCAACATGTGGCTACAAATAGGATATTTTTAGGTATGTTAATTTGTAAAATGATGTTAACGTTTTCAACTTTCAAATTGAGCATGTTGAAAATAGCAAAAGAGATTTACCAAATTGGAACACTTTTGAACTAACCAAAAATTAGATGAAAAATATCTCATGGTAAGTGTAAAATATATTATTAACATGTATAGTCTTTTAATTTTCTTCTATAAAATAAAATTGACCCTTATTTTAAATTCTGTGGGTAATAAGATATTAATTTGTTATGCACTAAATCACACAAGCTTATTTTGGTTTTATTGATAATTTTTTAGATTTTCAACTTATTCATTTAGATGATAAAAATAAATCTATTTGTCTAAACTGAATTATAATTTATTGGATTAAAAAAATAAAATTATACTTACATTCATCACTTATTAATCATTGAGCAACCAACGATTAAAAATTATTTCTTAACCATTTATTAATAAGCTGTTCATTCAAATTCAACATGTAAAATTCAACCTAAATAAATGACCTTAAATAGTCTTTTATATTCTGAAAATAACAAAATTATTTAATTGTTGAGGTAAATTGATTATTTCAGAACAATTAAATTAATACTGCATGCAAAATTGTTCAAAAACAATAAAATTAAAACCATAGATAAAGTTTTAAGATTTTATAAATTATGACTTATTTTTTCTCATTCAAATAAAGAATATGTCAAAATTTTAAAATATTTAAATTTCATCAGTTGAATTTCTTTGATTCAAATAATTAATTTTAAAAATTAGTAAAACCCCAATTAGGCGAATTTAAATTTTTTATAAATATAAATTACTAATTAGAATTTAACAGTGATTTTATTTGAGTTGTTTTGTTATTTGAATAATGATGAAGTTCAAGGTGCAAATCTCCTCCTGAGAATAATAATAAAAAAAAGAGTTTGAAAGTAATACGATCAAATTTTTTGAAAAATCATGAAGTTGAATAATAATTATAAATCGCCACTAAATAGAATTTGCTGATCGCCAACAGTACAAATCTATTGTTTTATTAAGTTAATCTAACCCCTCAAAATTAATAAAATTTGTTATATTCTCTATTCAATGTTTGTATCAATACTTCAAACTTCTAATCTTTTTCCTTTTATTGAAATTTTCATTTTCCTTTTTTTTTTTAAAACGTCATCGTATCTGTCTCTCTAAAGGGCTTAGACTAACGAGGGGCCCATTCACATTACCCCAACCCATAGCCCATCAAAGCAACTTCAGAAAAATCTCAATTATTTTCAAATTCCCGCCAAACAGATCTCCGGTCCCGAAAACATTTCCCTTTTTTTTTTTTTTTTTTTTTTTTTATTAAATGCAAAATTAATTATAATTTTGACTGGGTCCATACTCAAAAATTTGACACTTATTATTCAGAACTATTTTAAATTAATACTTGCAATGAAAATGGTTCTTCCTCACCAAAACCATATAAAAGTTCAAACACCGCTAGAATAACCAGCTAAGTTTAAGAGTTCTCAATAAATATTTATAATGGACTACTGTAATATTTTTTTCTATCACACATTTCAAATTAAACGAAGTATGTTACAAAATTTCTCATACAAATATTTTTTAAATATGCAGTATCAACTACACCGTTTGATCTCTACGTACACTCCCTGAGGAAATTTCTCTTTTTGATTTTCAAATATAATTAATTTTTTAACAATACGCAGATGTTAGAGTGTTAAAACCCAAATTTAAGAAGCGAATTTTAGAATTTTTTAATCTGAATCTATTAAATATAAAAGTAACTAACACTTCATAGAATATTAACTTAGCCTGATTTTTATTCCTTGACGTTTTGTTTCTTCATTATAGTGTTGGAATTACATGTGCTATTGACGTTTCTACAGCGCTGCACTAACTCTCATACCTATTCTGCTTCCGCGCTCCCTTCATCTCATGCACAATAATAATAAAAAAAAGCACCCGTTTGCAAGAAAGAAACTCTACTACGAATTACAAATAACTTTATTATTTGAAGAAACAAATCCCACATGAAATGTGTAATAATACATATACTATTAATCGGGCCAAGGTCACCTAAAATAGAACCTCTTTACCACTCCCAATCTGAACCTGGATCCCCCTCACCAACCAGCCCATCCATAAGCATTAAGTCTATCCTGGTACTCTGCATATTTTAACCCTTTAATCCTTACACCCCCCTCAAAAATTTATATATAACCATATTTTTATTCCAAGTTCTCCTATTCAATGTTTTATGCCCTATCCCTCGACATACTTCCAAACAAGGCTCCATCCACTAAGATGCACCTTTTTCGCACCTCATTTACTTTGAAATATCACTCCTCTCGTATCCTTTCCTACATGTGGTTTTTTCTTAACCATAACGTCCCATCGCTATCTGTCTCTCACACTCACAGAGTGCGCTCGACTCAGCTAATCCACCCACACATCCAACCCAACAAACTCTAACAGCTAACATCTACCACCTTCAACGGGCAGGGCGCCCCGCAGTCCAATCCATTCCAACAACTTACCCTATACGACCCCACCGCTCAATCTCGCCCAATCCCACTAGCCCCATCAAAGCAACTTCAGAAAAATCTCAATTATTCGTTCACAATCCTCCCGCGCACCAAACCTAGATGCTCCAACACGCGTCCTCCCAGCACAATACAATATAATCCCTCTTATTTTTTTTTTTTTTTTTTTTTGTAAATTATTATCTCTCGCGTTAATGAGCTTAGTAGCAGAACTGGGACATAAACACGATGGCCGAGAACACTGACTAGCAACAGCCTAAGGCTGAACGTTGAGGGAAAAGATAAGAGAAGGGAACAGGTCTAAGGTCTCAAGGAGCTTAAAAGGCACTTAGATTGACTCCAGTCATTCTCGGGAAATGGGAAGGCATCGCGGACAAGAACAAGAATTCTCACGCTATATACTTTTCTAGCCAGCGAGTTTTCCCTAAACTCCCAGATCTCGACCGCTGGCCACCTCTTTATCCAGCGCAAGCGCCCGAGGTAACTCCTCTTATCACTTAAAAGGATAATGGTCATGAGGAACTTCAAATGTTCTACTGGCATGAAGCGGAATCGAAAACTAGCTGGACTCGTTGGCCGTTCCTTGTTTACACAAGGCTTAGGGCTATATAGTATTTAAATACGTACTATGGATTTTGCGTTGGGTCTTTCTAATTTCTAGGGGTTTGTGCTTCGGGATTTGCTTTAGAAAATTGTGAGGATAATGAGGTGGATTCTCGGGATCATCTGTTTAATTATAATTCATATAGTTCGACTTAAAATTTGTCAGCGTATTACCTTAATTGTCCAACTTACATTTGTAAGTAGATATCAGCTTATGTTCTGCCTACCACCTTATGTTGTTGTCTTCTCACCCAATTTGCCGGAAACATTCAGACAAAATCGAGGGCTAAAACAATCTTGAAAACTTTTACCTATGTCCCTTTCCTATGTCGCTAACTAATGTAGCCAAATGGACCCTCAGCGCTATCAATTGGCAAGTGTCATAAAATTACGTTCTCTGTCCCCAATAATTTTTATTTTTTTTTGGGTACCGTTCAGAGTTTCTTCTGCAGTTGCGATTGGGCCTTCCTCACAATTGGACGCGCACATATTATAAGGTGGCAATAGAGCCCGAAATTTGTTCCGACTTTAGCCCATGCCATCCTGCTATACATATTAGTATTTGGCGGTACAAGGCGGGCAAGCACGGTTATTTTTCACATTTCCTTAACTCCTTTTTCAGTTGTTTTTAAATTTAAAAATTGTCTGCTTGCGCATTTTTTGAACCGCGATTGTTTTTTTCCTTTTGCGCCGGCACCAAAACTACATTTTCTATCTAGCCGTTCCCTGCTTGAGCCACCAAAATTCAAAGTGGCTTTTTCCCATCTATTTATGATTTATACAATCTTAGACTTTTATCGCATCCTCTATTTCAAAGGTTTCAATTTTTTTATTCACTACTCCCTATCCAACTTCTGTACCTGTTGGAATATTCAGATGGAAACTCCCACATACAAGCGTATCTGCAGCCTTAACTCCACAATTTCGTACTAATTCACCATGAATCTTAGTATCATAGTGAGGCCTTGTTTCATATTGCGCCTTAGCGATAATATTCAGCGAGATTGCATTTCTTGAACCTTCGTAAAATTTATTAAAGTTCCTAATGTATTTTCTCGTATTTGTTCTGCGCAGTTTCTACACTTCCTTTACTAACTTAAGTAGTGGCACTGAATTATAACACTTCCTTAGCTCTAGAAATCTGCTTTTTAAGCAGTATATATAAAATTAATGTAACAAGAAGCGGAAAGAGTGGATAATCAGGGGTAGTTATGGCTTTGACGCTTGTTTCAGCCTCTTTAGAGCAAGGCGAAGCTGATCAACAAACATCCGGTACACCCCAATTAAGGCTCAGAGATGGGACACGAAACTTCAACAATTCTCTAATGCGGCTTCACGCGCCTTGTGACATACTTTGGGACTCATCTTTTTTTTTTTTTTTTTTTTTTTTTAAATTATTATTCTCGTAATGGCTAGTAGAGACTGGGAAAAAACGAGGGAGAACACTGACTACAAGCTAAGGTGAAGTGGGGGAAAGTAAGAGAAGGGAAGTCAAGG